GACTGGGAGTTCCTGCATGGCAGGGGTTGGACTGGATGGCCCTTGTGGTCTCTTCCATCTCTGTGATTCTATGATTCTATGATCTTGTTGTTGTTGAGTGCCTTCAAGTTGTTCTCAGCTTATGATGGCCTTGTATCATGAACTTTTTGAGGCTGAGTGTGTGTGACTCACCCAAGGTCACCCAGTGGTTTTCTGTGACCAAGCAGGGAATCAAATCCTGGTCTCCAGAATCGTAGTCCAACACTTAAACCAGTATGCCACACTGGCTTTACCACATTTACCACATCTAGCAGATGAAATAGTGGCGAGATAACCATATTATATATGATGCAAGTGGTGGAATGAAATGAGGTAAATCTGGTGCTTGTTGTAATGTTTTGAGCGTAGGACTATGACTCTGGAGACCAGGGTTTGATTTCATGCTTGGCCATGAAATCTATTGGGTGATCTTGGGCAAGTCATACTCTCTCAGCCTCAAAGGATGACAATGGCAAACCTCCTCTGAACAAATCTTGCCAAGAAAACCCTATGATAGGTTCACCTTAGGGTCGCCATGAGTAAAAAATGACTAGGAGGCACATAACACACAAGCTGGTGTTGCCTGTAGATTTACAGCCTTACTCTCCTTTCTCCCATCCTTACTTTTTATTTGGTTGTCCTTGACCTCTACTACCCGTTCTTTCTGCAGCTCCTGTTGTGTCTGCCTAGTAATGTAAATGCTAAGCATTGCACAGAAGGGATGAGAAACATTTTTGTTGCTTACATTTATTTAGGAACAACAGAAAACATCAAACAGAAGACTGCCCGGTATGCAGCTGAAATGAAATTATGTACAATTTAGAGACATTGGGAAATGTGAGTTCTGAACATTTTCAAGATTCGAGATCTCATTTAGCTTCAGAAACTCAAGGTCATAGCTGAACTCTTTCATTTTTAAAGCTGATTAAGGAGAAGCAAATGTGGTGGAATGGTTTGAGTGTTGGACTAGGACTCTGGAAAACTAGGGTTTCAGTTCCCACTCATCCATGGGAACCCATTGAGTGATTTTGGGCAGGTCACACTCTCTGAGATAAAGGCAGTGGCAATTTTCTCTGTATAAATCTTGAAAACCCTAGGACTGGGTTGCCGTAAGTGACAGTTGACTTGAAGGCACGTCACAAAAACAAGGTCACAAAGTGGGTTTCATGGCAGAACTGGGAATCCAACTCTGGTCTCCAGAGTCCTAGTCCAACACTCAGACCATTACACCATGCTACATGTGTACACACACTACACATTAAGATATATAGCTCCAGGCTTGATAGATCACAGGTCTAAGGTAGTGAAAGTGGGGTCAATCTGCATTATTTCTATAGTGCTTGATAGATCACAGGTCTAAGGTAGTGAAAGTGGGGTCAATCTGCATTATTTCTATAGTGCAGATGCAGCTGTAGAGTTGGAAGAGAGCTCAAGGGCCATCCAGTCCAACCCCCAGCTGTTCAGGAAGACACAATGACAACACTCTTTGGTTGTGAAATCATTTGGAAAAGAAGTAGGTTTTAACCAGAAGAAAGGTAGAATGGTTGCAAGAGACCCACAGTTTCTGCATAAATGCCTTCCCCTCTTAAAGGTCTTGACCTTTCCGGCAGTTTTTCATTTTAAATGCTTCATGTGAAAAAGCCCTTAGTCTGGTCCTGCTCATTTCCTCTTGCTTCTTCTAAATAAAAGGGGAGATTTTGCCTCACCCACAGAGAAAAATGCAGCTGTGCCAAATCAATAGGGTTCCATGGACTTTGTGATAGAATAATCAGGTGATGCAGGAAGCTGTCCAGAGGGATTAGTCTGCCTGCAAGAGCACTATGAAAAGATGGGGGTCACCGAGGCAGGAGGGGGGGCTCGGGATGTGGAGAAACAGCTTTCGAGGCTTTTTGCCCTTTATGTGCTGTGAATTCAAAGAGTTCAATCAAACAATCCCACTCCGCCACCACCACCGCCTTCTCCAATATACAACCCTCCCTGCCTCCCCCTCAGCAGACCTTTAGCTTTCTATGGAGTCTTGGTAGAGGGAGGACCAAGAGGCATTAATTTGTAGAAAGAGAGACAAGGATGACAGAGCTTGACAAGCAAGAAGGATATGGGTCACTGGATTCACTGAAGCCCATTTACTTCAGAGAAATAATTTATTTTAACCGAATGAAAAGAGATAGAAAGGATCTCAAGAGGCCATCTAGTTCAACCCTTTGCTAGGGCATAACGGAACATGGAAAATCAGGTTTATTATGCTAAACCAGACTGTTTGTTCTTACAGCTCTCTGTCCCTGACTTTGACTGGCAGCATCTCTCCTGGATTTCACAAGGCAATCTTTCAGATTCTGTATCACAATTTGTTGTTGTCGTTGTGTACCTTCAAGTAATTTTTGACTTTTGGTGACCCCAAGACAAGCTTATCATAGGGTTTTCTTGGCAAGTTTCTTCAGATGGGGATGGCTGTTGCCTTCCTCTGAGGCTGAGAGTGTGTGACTTGCCCAAGGTCACTCAGTGGGTTTCCGTGGTGGAGCAAGGATTTGAACCCAGGTCTCCAGGGTCGTAATCCAACGCTCAAACCACTATGCCATACTAGCTCACTCTCTTACCATCTTATATCAAGGAATGGGGAATGTGTGGCCTTCTAGACACTGCTGCACTGCAAACCCAGTGGTCCTTCACCATTGATTATGCTGGCTATGAGTGATGGGTGTTGTGGTTCAGCAACATTTGTAGAATCCACCTTTTCCCTATATTATCTCCTTTTTTAAAAAAATAAAAAGAGATGCAAATCATAGAACCAGGGAACTGAATCTAGATCTTTCTGCCCAGAGCTTGGAAGAGTTCCTTTGTTTGGAGTCTGAGAAATTGAATCCACATTTTCTTTGCTCTGTTGCTGCACACAGAGTATATGCAATTGTTGTTGTCTGTGCAGCTTCAAGTCATTTTTGACATGTGGCAACCCAAAGATAAACCTATCATGGATTTTATAGGCAAGATTTGTTCAGAGGGGGGTTACCATGGCTGAGCAGGGATTCAAACACTGGTCTCCCAGAATCCTAGTCTAACATTCAAGCCAAAATACCCTGCTGGCTCTCCCTCAGCCCACATTAGCTATACCTCATAAGATGAATGTAGCAATAGCAATAGCATTTACATTTCTGTACCGCTTAATAGTGAACTGAGCACTCCTTAAGTGGTTTACAATGTGTAAGCTATTTGCCCCCAACAAGCTGGTTATTCATTTTACCAACCTATGGAAGGATGCAAGGCTGAGTCGACCCTGGAGCCCTGCCTGGGACCGAACTCACAACGTTGTGGCTATGATAACAGCATTTAACCACTATGCCACCAGGGCTCCCAGGGAATGTATGAACTGGGTGCTGGGTACTGGAACATTACTCCTCTCTAGTTTTGAGCTATAGTCGGAGAATCACAGAATTGTAGAGGTGAAAGATGTCCTAAAAGGTCATCCAGCTCTACCCTCTGCTGATGCACGAAATGTCAAGGAAAAAGCAACATGGGACATACAGTAATAGAAATAAA